CGTAGTTGCTGACGAACTGGTCCTGCAGGAAGGAGCCGGCCATGGCGTAGCGCGCCCCGGGCACGATCTGCGAGCGCGGGGAGTCGTTGGGCGAGGGGGTCAGGCGGTCCATGTCGCAGCCCGTGTAGATCCTGCGAGGGAAGGAGAGAGAGAGAACCCGGGGTGGCGCGGAGGTCCCTGCGGGGGACGGAAGGAAAGGATGCCACGTTTCGCCCAGCCCCGCACGCTCCATCTGAAACTGGTCGTCCAGGATGGAGGCAAAAGGTCACAGACCTGTAGGCTCTCCCAAATAAATCGTGGAATTAAAAAGGGAGCAATTTGCCCCGAAATGATGCAGATCCAGAGCAAGGCTTTCCTTGTCCCCGGCTCTCACACTCGCCAAGTGTACAGGGGACCAAGAGAGGAGCACAGCAGCGGATTCCCATCCCGCATCTCCAATCCCTGCACACATTATGGCAGGTTACCCCAGGGACTAAGGTGTTATTTGCCCAGTGGGCCTTTCCTCTGCGGAGAGAGTTTCTGAACCAAATTTCTAAACAAGAGACCCACGCCTCCCCCCCTTTTAAAACCGCTTTCTTCCTATTGACACACCTGCTGGCCGTCCCAGTAGCAACCATTAAAATCTGGCCTCCACCAGCCGCCTGAGACCCGAGGGTGGCTGCTGGAAGCGTCCAGAGTACTGACTATCTTGTTTCTCGTGTGTGACCCTTTAGCCCCCACCTCTACCGGTACAAACAAGAATGACTATTTGGAAACAAAGTTAACAATCAATAAATTCTTTTACAAAGAAAAAGTATTCTTTACTCTGGCCTTCTCTGCCCAGTTTTGGATTCACTTATTGGTTTAAAAAAAAAAGTACTTTGGGACAAACTCTTAGAGGACAGTTGTCCACTTCCTCCAAGCAATCTCCCACTAATAATGGCTAACCCTTATGCATCTTGACCATGTGCCGGGCACTGTTGTCTAGGACTGTACAAATGGTGATTTACTTAACTATCACAATAATCCTTGGAGTTAGGTACCATCATTACCCCCACTCTACAGATGAAAACACTGAGGCCAGGGGAAGTTGAATAACTTGCCCTATAGCTAACTGCCCAGACAGTAATTGTGTTACTGGGAATCACCTCAGATAAAATAATCAAAAAACTAACTCTAGGCCCTGGGCCTAGAAAATCCCATTAGAATTGAGAGGGAACCAGAGATTGGATCAAGATTGGTAGAAGTGTTTTCTCAGACACATACACACATGCCTCTCTTTTTATTTAGCTCACACTTAAATGTTTTAATATTTAATCAGCAGACTGTTTTGAAAGAGAGCCTCATTTTTGTCAGACCTTAAGCCCTTGGGGAGGAGATTCCCTGGTGAGTGGCCAAGCATCCCGCTGGTCCCCCTAAAACTCTTACTGCTCTCCCTGTTTCTCCAGGAGTTGGCGATGCCCAAATAACCGACAGAACAGTGGAAAGGGAGATGTCATGAACCCCTAAAAAGCTAAAGTGTCCATTTGTATAGGTAAAGAAGCCTTTTATGAAAAGCACACAGTGATTTACCAATCAAAGGGAACTGGTTTTTCTGACTGAAGTCAGCCAGAGGAGGGGCAGGTGAGCCTACTCTGCAGCTGCTCAGGTCCATTTTGTTTACTGCACAGAATTTCCCTCCTGAAATTTCAGTCCAGTTTCAAATAAGAGAAGTAGAAGGAGTCAGAAAGGGAACATAACCAGCAAGGTGCAAATGTCTTTTCTGTTTACCACCACGATATTTTAAAAGAAAAAGAAAAACAGTCTGCAAAAGACACAGTTTAGATGCCCATCCAGGTCCCGACCCACTCGGGATTACTGAATTGATTTGTGCAAAATAAAATGCTTCGGAACAGATGTTCACAACAGAATTAAAAGCTCAAAATCTACAAGACCCCCCTAGTACAGACTCCAATATCTCTGGTCTCCTGGGCCACACACTTTCCACTGTGCCGGGTCCACCTTTTTAGACTGGGAGGACTAGAGTAGCCAAGTTTTTATTCTGGGTAATCATAGGTGAAGCTTGCTTCCTTTGAACTAATTTTGAAGGATGCACAATTTGTTATTTTAAAAAACAGAAAAGAAGGTTGTTATCTACCTGGAGATGGAATAGAAGCAGCCACTTGTCACTTTCTCTATAAATTTAATCTATTTTTAGTCAAACACATCTTCAATTTTGTAGCTCTATCCCAGGCACTTAATGCAAGCCGTGAAATTAAAATGTATGTACCCTTCCCTTTTATGGTCAGGAAAAGGTATGGGAATCCCCACAATCTAGATCAGATTTTGCTGTGTAACACTATCTGAACTCTTAGGCACTATACCAGGTCTCTGAGCAAGAATGCTAGAACATGCACAGAAAGCACTGTATACACCTGCTGTTGCCCCAGAGGACAGCATGTTGGCAGAAAAGAAATGGAGATAGGTAAGGGAGGCTTGGAGAAAAGGGAACCAACACTTTTCATTAAAACACATGTAAGAGGAAATATTTTTCTCTCAAAGCTTATAAATAACACACAGCAACAGCACCCAGATCCTTCTCAAAGCCTGAAATGACTTTAGAGTGGCTCTGCTCATGAATTTGCCTATGGTGGGTGCACATTTTTATTCAGTCCATAGTAAACTCGCACAGGAAAAGCTATTACACAAAACTTGAAAATGGGTAAATAAAAGTCACATATGCCAAGGAGGCTGTAACAACTGCCAGAGCCACATGCACTTTCAGACAGAATCGGGAGGTTTCAGACACAGACAGTCTGAGCTGAGCATCTGCAGCGCCACATACAACTCCACCCGCACCCGGGAACCAGGGCAGCTTCCCCTGCCAGCCAGCCGGTAGCAGAGGCCCCCCAACAACTCAGTAATTTATAAGGAGGCTAAAAATAGGTGGAGGAAACCTTTGACCAAAACTGCTGAAGAACTAAGCCAGAGAGAAAGGGAGTCGACAAAAGGGAGAGGGGAAACCTGGAAAACAACCTTGTCTTCACACATTCTAGCTTCCAAAAACCTTGCACCTAACAATCCACCTTTGACCTAAAGCCCAATTCCACAACTATTTGAGAAGAAAGGAGCAAAATTACTTACGTGTCATAATTATCCCGAAATCCTTTTGCAAAGGGGTTGTGGTCTATCTTCAGTTGTGTAATCTGGGAAAGAGAAAAAAAAAAAGATTAATATGATCTCACCTTCCATACAGGAGGATTGGGTGTTTGAGGATATATCATCTGCCACTTTTTCTAGGGGCTTAAGGCCTACGATTTCATCAAAAAGTTGAGGGCATGGGTGGAAAGGGGGGGGATTATCATGAAAGTTATGAGGAACATCTTTAAATTAATGATGCCCAAAACTAAAGCACTGCTTTCAATTAGCTCTCCTATGTGCTCTAAATTGGTTTCAAATGCACATTTTTTTAAATGCTTGTTACACATAATGCACTTACTCAGACAAAAATCTCTAAGGGGTACTTGAATTAATCACCAAAATTGCCTATTTTAAACGTTTCACCATATTTTTAAAAGTTGGTTGCTTCTGAGTCACAACCAAACAGACAAGTTGCATCTTAAAATCAGTTTTGGTTTCTGGAAACTTGCAAATGCTCAAGAGGTCAAGAGCTAGAAAATTCATTCCATAGCCCACAGTAATTTAATTTATTGTAGTTTTACATATATGAATTAGTATGTTCTTTTGCTCCCCCAAAAGTGATGTTTGATTCAGCCATCAGTTCTGAATATATATATATATATATATTAGGTAATGCCACATATTGCCAAGAATAAAATGCAGGGTAAAATCTGCTTGTTTTCTAAAGGAAAGAGAGCTTTTTTTAAAAAGCACATTTAAATTTGTTCTAGTTTGAGAACTAAATAAAATATTCCAAAGAAAAGGGGCCCTAGAACTCCTGAGCACCTCAAAGGTGGCCCGCATGACCCGCAGCATGACCAGCAACAGAGACGTAAATTCCACCGGCCAGGTATCTAGGGGAGGTGCGCAGCAGGCCCCCACGCCTTCGTCTAACAGGCTCAGCAGAGCCAGCTGTTGCTGATGTTGGTGCCAGGGGAAGAGGTGCCACCGCCCCGCGCCCAGCCCCCAGCCCGCACTCCTTACGTCCGTGTTCTGGTAGGCGGTGACCGCGATGAACTGCGTTTCTGGGAAAGTGAACGTCTGCACGCGGCCGGGCTGGCTGGTGTCCTCCGTGCCGTCCTCGTTCACTTCCACCACATGCAGGCGGGGCTGATACTTGTGCAGGGACTGCAGAACCACCATCTGTCCCGCCGAGAGAGGGAAGCGCCGGGCGGCGCGTTA